ACAGACATCAAGAAGTCGACAAAGATTCTGGCACAAAACGAAAAAAAATTTGAATCCCTACAGCTTAAATCACATCATTTACCTGTAATGAAGGATGTCCCAGGTTGTGCAGGAAGCTAGATCCTGGAGAAATCTTCATTGCAGGGATGCCAGTCCTCTTCAGGACACACATTTTCAGGCTGACTTGCATCCTTCAGGTTTTGGGTTAGGAGTGTACAGGCAATGTAACCAAAGAACTGAGGACAACTTCCTGGAACTATTTACTCCTCCACTGCAACACAGTTACTGTTGGAGAGCTAGCCAGTGTCTCCCAATGTACCACCCCCAGACCCTAGATAGACTGCTCTTCCTATACCCAGCTGTCTGAAGGTATCCCTGAGCATGGGATTTGGTGCCTGTCCCTCCCCTATCTGATCTAGGGGTACAGGTATACTCACTCAGTCCTTCTCCCATGCAGATGGTGGGTCGGTGGCTGTTACCAGGCCTTCTAGCTGGTCTGCTCCTTCCCTGCCACACAGGTGGTCCTCTCTCAGGGGGTCGGTGAAGTCCCAAGTTTCCATCTTCCCAGCTTCACTGCCTGTGGTTGAGCCCCTCTCTCCATCTGGGCCCCCTCCTAGGCTCCTGTCTTTAGCCTCACATCTTCCTCTCTGTCTTCCACCCGAACTCTCTGCTGCTGCTGAGCAGGCTCATGTACATTTAAGGGTTTCCTGGCCCCTTGCCAAGCCTCCTGTTGGGGATTGGCCAGAATCCCTCAAGAGTACAAGCCAGCCATTCCTAAGATCCACCCATTGCTTCTAGACCTTTTTCCAAAGGTCTAGCGCAGGGGGAAATTCCAGAGGGCTGGTCTACAGGGCCTCTCAGTTCCTGACCCAAATTTAACCTTCTGACTATTGCACCTGGGCTGCTACTCAGCCTTCCTAGCTAATAATCATACTCTTAGCTCCCCCTAGCTGGCTAGATGGGTGCTACATGTATATGTATATCAAATAGTATTGTGAAAAGTTGTACAGATACATAAGCTGGTAAAGCAAAGTAAACACTATCAGCAAACCTTCTGTAGGAGCACATCCTATGAATCTATTTATTAAAGTAGGTTTTGATTACTGCACTACTCTTAAACACAGGTTACAGTATACTGACTCCATTATAGGATGCATGCATTAGGTTATGACTGCATTGTTACTACTGTAATGATAGCCACTGTTTTATGTTCCCACTAATAAGAGAGCAGAGAGAGAACACTGTTAGTATAATGTTGAGATTTACAAGGTAGTCGGGAAATGTGCTCTTCATAAAAACAGTGACGTGCTTTCAAATGCAATTATGAGGTCTATTTGATTTTGTGTGCATTGTGGTCATTATTGAATTAAAGCACACAATGTTCTCTGGTTCTAGCTACATGCAGCTGTGAGACTCTAAATCAGAATGTTTTAGTACTACTGGTTTCTGTGACATGGATATCATACCCAAATATAAGAAACCTTTCAGGAGAGTAGAAAATGATTTTCTGAATGTGGAACATTTGCAAGTGAAAGTGATGATTTTGAACCTTTGTAAACACCTTTCTTCAAAATGTGTGGAAATGAAAAATTTACAGAAAACAAGTTCAAAGTATATGATTTTAAAGAGTTCATTTACTGTTCACTTGCATGGGAATTTTCCCTTAGCTAAGTGAATGAGGTCTGATGACTTCATCCAATAATGTGAAAGCAAAAGTACAGTTGTTTTTTTCATTTTATTTTTTTTTTCACATAATTATAAAGTTCAAAAGTGAACTTTCACTACATTTACTAAGCTAATTGAAAAAAGTCTTGCAAAGTGAACAGTCTATTTGCCTCTAGTAAATGGGATTCTAAATGTGCTGGTGAGGATTTATCAAGCAACAGGATCAGGTGGCAATCTATTATAAATCCAGCTACCCCCTATTTACCATGACTGTGCTTCTAAAGCTGGCCATATAAGTATAGATTTCTAAAAGATTTATCCATCTGCACTGTTAGTTCCCTCCCCTGCCAGACCGTTGTATTCTAACTAGCATCTGTCAGAATAGTCGAACAGTCTCTGCATCACATTAGATGCAGACACTGGACAGCCGGCTATTTTCCAATAGGATCCTTCAACAAAGGTTGATTGAACATATGATTTTTGTTGAACAGAGTAGTTCCACCAGGGCTATACACTACATGAATTTTGGCCATAATTTGCACAGTTTATGGCCAGCTTTTTTATAAACAGCTTAAAATGCCAATGTCCTCCTTGCCTCTATGGTTTTAAAGTGTAAGTACCAGGGACGTACTGACCATTCAGAAACTCAGGCACTGTCCGAGGGCCTGGGGTCAGTAGGGGGCCCCATGAGATGCCCCTGATGCCTTTCACAGGATTTTTTGGGTGTGGTTTGAGTGTTGGCGAGGACACAGAAGCCCCATGATTTCCTATTGCCCGGGTGCCCCATGAGTTGTCAGTCCGTCCCTGGTAAGTACTAAACCCACAACAGCAAAATCCGTCTGTACAGTATATCCAGTACAGCACACTTGTTATACTCACTGTGGAATCTAAGGGGTTAATCTTCTGCATTGTGCCTCATAGGACAATCAAGGGAGAATGAAAACTCCTCCTACATGCTTTAACCAGTGCTCTGCTGGACACTGATAGAAGTCACAAGACTGCTCTAAATGCTGATGAGAAAAAGTATTTAGCAGTTTATAAAAAAATGGAACAGGAGGTGCCTGATCTTTGCAGACAGAGCTAGCCCTGCTCCTAAGAATGGCTGCCGCTATATTACGCCTACCCCAGAGACTCTTTTATAGACTTTATCTTATGCATACTATATGGTATATGTGTTTATCATGTGCTATCACTATATATACCGGAGCAAAAACCTACCATAAACTTGTGTATATGTGATATTTATGCTCCAGTACTTCCCTACTTCTTTATTGGAATTTATAAATCTCCGAGCGCAAGACTTTCTTCTACCTATATTTAGCACATTATGTTTACTAAAATAATTGCATTCCATGTTCTGTGTACTGTGGGAGACCAGATATAGTGAAAGCAGGGTCCTGGGTTTAGTAGCACTTTAAGTTTTGGCAACAAAACTTGGAAATTAATTGGTTTCTATGCAGTGCTGCACCAAATTTTGCACCCTGCAGTTTTAGTAAATAATCCCCTATACATTCCTTTTATTTTTCTCATTGGTCAGAAATGTATCTAGTGATATTGACATCTGTGTTTATCACAGTGAAACTGGGGACACATTGGCCTTGGGCATCCTAAAGTAGGAGCTCAGTCAGGGGTGTAATCAGTAAGGAAAACTCGTGAAGACAAGCCCATAATAGCATTTACATACTTCCTTTCTTTCGCAAGGTACATAGCTGATTTACTTTACCCTTTTCCTGCTTTACCGCACAACTATGCAGCTATTAATATCATAAATATACATTGTAATTTATTAATGTTCCCTGTGTAGCATTTAAATACATTTTATAGATCCAAAAAAAATGTCTCCAATATGTGCATATTCTACAATTAGCAAGGTATTTTACATTTCCTAATGACTTGATGCCAAGTCTTAGGGCTACAATAGATGGAGACATTTTAATCTTATGCTACTGAGCTAAAGGTTTAGATTTTTTTTGGTAAAAATAACAAATATGTTATACTTACCTACTCTGTACAGTGGTTTTGCACTGATCCTCCTCTTCTTGGGTCCCCGAGTGACGCTCCTGGCTACACAAAAAGAAAGTATGAGGGAGAAGAGAAAAAAAGGTGGCCTCGGCTGATGAGTAAATCGATCCTGACAAAAAAATAATTCAGTTAAAGTGGTTGTAAATCTTAGACATAGAATATGAACACAAAGCATATCCCTCTATAGTGTGTACTTATCTCAATCAACAGCTACAATAGATGGAGGATCCTGGGTTTAGTAACACTTTTTTTACAGCTGACTAATGAGCATTTAATGCAATCAATTTTCAGTGCACATTTCTAAATTGATTTGCAATATTGGGGAACGTTTACTAAAGGAGTGTAGGCAGTTCACTTAGCAAAGTGAACTTTCACTGTACAGGAGAATTTTCACTTAGCTAGTGAATAAGGTAAAGCTCAGCTGACTTCAGCCATCCAGTCATGTGCAAGCAAAAATTCTGCAGCTCCATTTACTTAAATATGCAAGCAGTTCTGCTGCTGAACATGACAGAGTGGGAGGGAGCATGTTTGGCTATGCCATGTGTACACCCCATCTGGCTGGTATTCACCCTAAAGTGATATTAAAGGTAACGTTTTTGTTAAATAACAAACATATAATATTTACATGGTCTATGCAATGGTTTTGCACAGAGAATCCCTGATTTTCCTCTTTATAGTCCCCTGCTGGCACTCCTTCCTCCCATTGAGTGCTCCCAGAGCAAGCTGCTTGCTCTGGGGGCACTCATGTGTGCTCATTCCTGAGCCCTCGCACCATGTGTCCATAAGATATGCAGAACAGGTTCGGCCCCCGCCCCTTTCTCTCACATTACTGGCTGTGATTGACAGCAGTGGGAGCCATTGGCTCCCGATGTTGTACATGCCAATGAGGAGGGAGAGACCCAGGATAGGAGCTGCTCTCATGCACAGCGCTGGATCGAGATTGGGTTTGTGTAAGTATTTGGGGGCTGCGGGGATACTGCATACTGAAGGTTTTTTACTTTCCTGCATAGAATGCAGGAAGGTAAAAAAACTTCAGCCTTTAGAATCACCTTAAGATAGGGGATTGGTTGGGGACCATAAATACTGTTCTCAACTGGTTATTTTTACTGGCATAAGAGATGTTGAATTGCATCTTTACTGCCTATTTTTAGCTCCCTGCTCCCCCCAAAACAACAAATGCAAATCACGCCTTAGTGCATCAACCCCACTGTTCTGGTAATTCATATAAAGTACCAATTAACAAACATAGAAGATGCAGCTATTAATAACGAATTATGTGTGCATTTAATTTGTGTGTTTCTGCTTTGTTGTAGAATGAACGGGAACAAATTATGACAACTAATGTGTGGCTCAATCAGGCAAGTACGACCGGTTTTCAAAGTGCTCAGCATTTATATTTAGTTTATAATTATCAATTCAATGGTTAACTAGATTTTCAAAACTTGCTAAACAGTTCTGCTTCTCGCCAATTGTGGCTATATAAAGACAGAGTGATTTTTTTTTTCTTTTCTTTTAAATACATCTGAATTAATAGCAGTATGACAGGTAAACCTCACATGAAGTGAAAGAAACAATACGTTTACATGTTTTAGTTCTGAGCACAGGAAATAAATATGTACAAATCCACAAGATTCCTTTTTAACAAGTTTAAATTGTAAAAATATAAAATGATTGGGGGAGATTTACTAAAACAGCTTCTAACGTCAGCTTTGACAATAAAACCTGGAAGCTGATTGGTTACTATGCAGAGCTGTACCAGTTTTAGTACATTCCCCCAATTGTGTCCAGAAAGTCAAGAAAGAACATGGCTTGTTTGAGTTAGTGGCACTATTATTCAGGAAGTTAAGAAACGCAGCTAAAGATTTAAATGATTTAATTTTTTAAAATAATGAATAGATTTTTTCACACTGTTTAATACCGATTAATCTCCACTTGAAATATCACATCCGTAGGAGTGGGTGGACTACCGGCTGACCTGGAACCCAGCAGAATATGATGGCATAAGGAAACTTCGAATCCCATCACAAAAGATTTGGCTACCTGATCTTGTCCTCTATAATAAGTAATTTATTTATCTTCTTTATTCATTTTATACATGTGTCTGGTATGTATGATGATAAAGTCCAATCTGCAATATGGGGTTTCTCTGAATGTTGGGACACGTTTTAATTAGAAACTATTGACAATCTATAGCATTACAGCATCTTAATGGATTGAAAAATGGATGAGGGATGGGTGGGAAGCTTTGTAAATTTTGCATGGAGATCAGCTTTACCTTAGTTTAGAATGTTTTAAGGTAAATATATCAATTAAAAAGGAAAAAAAATCCTATTAATGTTTAAAGGATAAGTTCACCTTTTTCTAACATGTGACATGTTACACCGATATTCAGGCTGTAACATGTAACATATGATAAATGCTTAAGGGTCCCCACTCAGGCTGTCAAGGTCCAGTGAACTGGATGCCGTTGACCAGTGAGGGTGCAGCCTGAGGAAAGCTCTGTCCAAACCCAAAGCATACTGCAAAAGTAGAAAGAGGTAGTCCAACCGCCTCACTTGGCCCAAGTGGTAAGTAGGTAAAAGCAGCCTCAGCTTGATTCATGCAGACCATGTCTCCATATTGTGCCCTGCCGTGCCACCGGGGCCTAATCATGGAGAATCATGGAGGGGGACGAAACATGTTGGGGACATGGTCTGGATAAATCAAGCTGAGGCTGCTTTTACCTACCTCAGGCCAGGTGAGGTGTGCGGTGGTTGGGCTACTTCTTTTTATTTTTGTAACATGTAACATGTTAGCGCTGCAGATGCCCCTGTCAAAACCTCCCCTCTCCCGAGGATCTTCCCCCCGTGTCTGCTGTCACAATTCAATAAAGACACGGCCATGAGGGACTCTGCCCACCCGACAGCATCATTTATTCACAGAATTATGTAAATGAAAAAATAGTCCCAACAGCAATTGTGGCTGACAGCTCGTAGTTCTCAATGAACACTGTGGTAGTTAATTCTCTCTTCCTGTCTGTGTATATCTGTCTGCTCGTACAAGGTGTGAGCACACAGGTATACAGACAGGTCTGCAGGAGTCCTGCATGGCACCTGCGAACAGCAATGCTTTCTAGGCTCCTAGTAAAAAAAATAATTGATGCACATTTTTTTACCTGCAAAAAGATGTGCATTAATTATTTTTTTTTTACAAAAGTGAACTTTTTCTTTAAAATGTCTTTATTGTGTATTTACTTGCAGGTTGTAAGCCTATAGAGAAAAGATTTGTAAGCTTAATCTTATTCTTACAAAATAGGCTTTTCAGTCTACAAGAAAGCAGGGAAGGCAGGCCACAGACAGGATACAGCAAATCTAATAGAAACATTTTATGGGAAGGAAAAATTTCGTAATTGTAGAGCAAGAATATAATAGAATTTGAGCGGGTGTGAGCAATAGATGTTGACTCACATCACATTTCACAAATGCAACTTTCCAAACTGTGGCCTCTTAAATGGAAAATGAGACGTCAGAGAGAAGCTGAGTTTTCTTTTTTTAGGCTTTTGTCTTTTAATTTCACCTGGTGATCCAGCCAGTAACTCAGTTCCTGTTGTAGTGTCCCCACTCTGGATGGAGGATCAATGGGGACACCGTTGAACATCTGCATTGTTAATCCGTTGAGAGGGTAGTGTATGATGTACTAGCAGATTAAGGTGGACTTAACTATCAAGTTAAACCCAAACTCCAGCTAACAATTTTTAAACAGTCAGATCCATTTTGCTTGAGGTGATTGTAGCCGTATTAGTGCACGTGTGACAGAAACAATTAAGTACTGTCCGCGATACTTTTTTTATTTTCACTAACATACAATTTTCAGGACAAGCTTTTACCGCTTGGACCTTGAAGAAGGGGACATACCCCGAAAGCTTGTCCTGAAAATTGTATGTTAGTGCAAATAAAAAAAGTATCACGGACAGTACTCAATTGTTTCTGTAAACAGTCACAGTAACATTTTATTTCCTTTTGGGAAAAACGTTTTACCTAAGTGGATGAAAGCTGACCATTGTAAGTACCGCTGTCTGTGTTAACTTGTTTGTGTCAACCCTCTTACTACCACTTTTGCTGAATAGCTTAGTCTGGTTAAGGGAGCTGAAAAATAACAGATTTACCAGCCGGATTACAAGGTGAAAAGGAAAAAAAAGCCTAAAGAATAACATTAATGCAACCAACACATTAATTGCTAATCTGCAATATAATACAATTTTTGTTTTCATATTTAATACCATTTTAAAAGTAAAGGATGTCTTACTGATTTGAAACTATTTTAATCTGCCTCCTTGTTATTACCAAAAAAAAAAAATGATTTTAAACAAACTAGCAAACACTGAAAGGGATATCAGTACAGCACTGATGAGTGAATTCTCTGCATACTTTTTGTAATAATAAGGCATTTAGTGTTTTATCATTGTTATGGATTGTGGTTTGGCTTTCTTTCAGAAAAATGAATATTTAATTATGCAATAATCCATGTTCATCAGAGATTTGCCTGTTTTGTGTTATCTATCATTTTCTCTGATATATGTTATTTATTTTTGTCAGTGCCGACGGTACATACGAAGTCTCCCTGTTCACCAATGCAATTGTGCAATACAATGGCAGCATCTATTGGCTACCTCCTGCCATTTACAAGAGTGCATGCAAGATAGAAGTCAAACATTTTCCATTCGACCAACAGAATTGCACTTTGAAATTCCGTTCATGGACCTATGATTATACAGAAATTGACCTTGTTCTTAGTACAGACTCAGCTAGTATGGATGACTTTACACCAAGTGGTGAATGGGATATCATAAAACTGCCAGGAAGAAGAACAGTCAATCCACTTGATCCAAAATATGTTGATGTAACGTATGATTTCATCATCAAAAGAAAGCCTCTATTCTATACTATCAACTTGATCATACCTTGCATTCTTATTACTTCATTGGCAATACTCGTGTTTTATCTTCCATCAGACTGCGGACAGAAGATGACCTTGTGTATATCAGTGTTACTGGCCTTGACTGTATTTCTGCTCCTAATTTCTAAGATTGTTCCACCAACTTCTCTTGATGTCCCGCTTATTGGAAAGTACCTGATGTTCACCATGGTTCTGGTGACATTTTCCATTGTCACTAGTGTCTGTGTCCTTAATGTCCACCATAGGTCTCCTAGTACGCACACAATGCCAATTTGGGTAAAGAACTGTTTTCTGGAAAAACTCCCAGTGTTCCTTTTCATGAGACGTCCAGAGAATAACACATGCAGTCAGAAACTTTACAGTAACCGGAGGAACACCCAACTGGAGTCATGCAGAAACTCTGGCTACTTTGTAAATGCTGCTACTGCAAAGGCATATGATCAGAGACCTAATGATCAACCTTCCAATGAGCAGCATAGAAACCAAGAATTCCGATACAGGCACTCCAAAAAGTTCTCTCCGCAAGTTCAAGATGCAATGGAGGGTGTAAGCTTCATAGCCGATCATATGAAGAGTGATGATGAAGACCAAAGTGTAAGAGCCTTTATTATGTGTGTGAAGCCGATCTCGCATTTGCACAGTGTGCTTGTATTGTTGTAGCAAAAGGCAGGATTGGGTCCATGACAGCCCTATAATATGCCAGGATAGGCTACTGACCAGATTAAAGTGAACCTGTCAACCTGAAAAGTAAATATTCTGCTCAATAGAAGGTTCCACAAGCAGCCTAATCAAATATATTTGGTGGTAGAAGGCACCACATGCAGAATTAAGTATACTAACACCACGCAGAAATATACAAATTTCTTTAAAAACAGTCATTGTTTATTTAAATACCCATTAAAATAGATTGCTTTAGGCACTTAGGGATGACATCTCAGAACAGAGACCGGCTTCTCTTTGTGGTTATTGATGATACTGATGGATAGATGCAGCACTTTCACTATGTACCCTTTTCCTTTTAACCACATTGCCTTGAGAGTATTATTTTCATTTTTAGCTCACATGGTAAAATCTGCATTTTTGGCTATTAAGTTACTTATTACCCTCAAAACATAGATACTGTGTGCGCCTGTTAAATGGCAAAAAATGATGATAGTCCAAATTAGTAGTAGGTGAAGCTTTAGAGCATATATGGGCAGATAAAATTCTGCATTTAGATGCATATAACAGATAGGTTTATATGAATCTATACGCAGCACTATAGTAATCAATGAGTCCATGCACACAGCTGCATCTACATAAGAAAGTGTGTGCGGGGTTTAGCCATGCACAGAAAAAAATAGGGCACAGCTGCAGATTTTCATGCGTAGATCTGCAGATTTTAGGCACGTACGAACATAAATGCATATGAACGCACAGAAACAAGAGTACTGTAGGCATGTATTTTACGCAAGATCATCTAGCTCTGCCAGCAAGAACCTTTCTTTCATGCAGAAAATACATGTATGGCTATGTGAATGAGCCCTTACATCTCTTTACATCTCACAAATTTAGAGTAAACAGTAAATGATGGCCTTAGGGTTATTGCTCTTATTCTAACTTTGTGGCGGTATATAACATGTATTGCGCAATCACCATTTACAAACACATGCGCACCCTGTCTTCATGTTTGCATGTATGGATGTGTGCAAGGTGATGGAGGGTAATTTTTAAAAATGATTTTAATTTAATTTAATTTTATTATAATTATATTTAATTTTATTATACTTATATTGTTTAACTTTTTTTTTTATAAATTAATAGCATTGGGCAGGTGACAGTTATTGTTTATAGATACATAGCGGTTGAGTTACTAAAACTGGAAAGTACAAAATCTGGTGCAGCTGTGCATGGTAGCCAGTCAGCTTCTAATGGAGGCCATACATGGGTCGAATTCAAAACAAATTTTCTTTAGAAAATCAGAACTTTCATGCATTTTGTAATCTGGTGGTGCCACCATTGATTTTTGAAATTCGATCAACCAAGCCTTTAATTTCACCTCATGTTGCTACAGAAAAGTATTTTCATGGCCAAGAATTTTCTTTTCTTTCCAGGTCACAGCTAATACTTGTTTCTTTTTCGATTATATTTCTCACATGATTTTTCCATCATTGATTAGAAAATCATTAATTTAAAAAAAAAATTCCAACATGCCCGAAAGCTCAATTTCGATGGTTGCTTGTTACTTAGTTACATAGTTACATAGTTAGTCTGGCGAAAAAAGACAAAAAGCTCGTAAATCAGCCGTTTCTGTTTCCCACTAATAGTGCAAAATTCGAACGCAAATTCTTAGAAAAGATTTTCAAAAGAAAATTCTTTGGAATTCGACCCATGTATGGTGGCTTAAGTTCAGCTTGTTCAAACAAGCTTTGACAAAAAAAACCTGGAAGCTGATTGGTTTCTATGCAGAGCTGCACCAGATTTTGCACTCTCCAGTTTTAGTAAACCAATTCCATAATCTTTACCCTGCCCTCTGCCCTCAAACAAGATTGTGCTTGGTTAGCTGTACACCTGGATTTCTACCGGAGATTTGACAGCTCTGAGCCATAAGTGAGCAGAGTTGGGGTTTCCAGAGGACATGGGGGAGCAGATGTTCCTCGGTTTCCTCCCGCTCACCATTATGACATTAACTATTGTGGTCTCTCGCTCCTGGGAGGAGCAAGAAAGCCCAGGAACCACTGGGACTGGGCAGTGGGGGGGTCAGCACTCGCTGGTCAGGTAAAAGTGATCTGGGTGGCTGTAAAAGCCCAGACCCTGCTGATAAAAAATAAAACAGGATCAGGGCTGCTAATGCAGCCATGAGCTTGTTTTAAATGGTTCACTCTTTGGACGCACCACACGAGTCCAAAAAGGCAAACTAGCTTTGTACCTTAAAAGAAAAGTATAGTGTATTTTCAGTGAGCAAACATTTTGAGTTATACGAAAGTGCTCTCTGTAGTCTCAGTGCATGTAGTCTGACTCTTTTTTAAATGTAGAGATATGATATCAACTACCCAGGGCGTGCATTGTTTTTACCAAGCCATCAAAGTTAAAGAAGTTGATTTACTAAAGTCGAATGGGCTGGTCAGTTTGCAAGATAATTTGTATTTTGAAAGTTAATTTCCTTAGTTTAGTGAATGTGATGAAAATTCACTTTACAAACAGTACCCAATCATGTGTAAGCAAATAAAAAAAAAGTATTCTTGCTTGCACGTAAGTGAATGACGAAGTCAACAGAGCTTCATCTCATTCAAGAAGCTAAGTGTAAGTTCCCTTGCAAAATGCCAATTACCTTGTAAAACCAACAGCCTATTTGCATTAGTAAATCAACCCCATAGACTTGTTTTTTTGAGAAGGAGCAGTAAGACACTAACTGCAAAGCTGAAAGCAGAACCTGCAAATGTACTTATCAAATGAGAAAATTATATATAGAAAACAGGTTTTTAAAAAATGATCACATACTGATAAACGTATTTACCTCTTACTGATCATTTACTTTTCTAATCTAAAAAGCATTCAGCTTCCACCATCAGCTTGTTCAGTTAAAGTGTTACTAAACCCACAACAGTAAAATCAGTCTATATATGCAGTAAAGCATGCTTGTTATACTCTCTGTGGAACCTAAGGGGTTAATCATGTGTAAAAAGGATGTTTGATCCGGACTACCCTGATCCTCCCCTTCTTTTACTGCCCCCAATTTATCTGCTGATAGAATAGAGCTTTTGGGGCAAGCTGCACATGCTCAGTTTGGTGTGTATTGCTAAGAAAAAATGTTTTCTTGGGAGAGTGCATGTGATCAGCACAGGGCCAATCAGAACTGTCCAGACAGAGGGTCAGGGTTCCTGCAGTCTCATAGGACAATCAGGGGAGAATGAAAATTCCTCCTACAAGCTTTAACCAGTGCTCAGCAGGGCACAGATAGAAGTCACCAGAGTGCTCTAACTGCTGATGAGAAAAGGTATTTCTATTTACTAAAGTAATTGCATTTCCATGTTCTGTGTACTGTGGGAGACCAGATATAGTGAAAGGAGGGTCCTGGGTTTAGTAGCACTTTAAATTTTGGCAACAAAACTTAGAAAATAATTGGTTTCTATGCAGTGCTGCACCAAATTTTGCACCCTGCAGTTTTAGTAAATAACCCCCTATACATTCCTTTTATTTTTCTCATTAGTCAGAAATGTATCTAGTGATATTGACATCTGTGTTTATCACAGTGAAACTGGGGACACATTGGCCTGTATGTCCATGGGCATCCTAAATTAGGAGCTCAGTCAGGATGTATTCAGTAAGGAAAACTCGTGAAGACAAGCCCATAATAGCATTTACATCCTTTCTTTCGCAAGGTACATAGCTGATTTACTTTACCCTTTTCCTGCTTTACCGCACAACTATGCAGCTATTAATATCATAAATATACATTGTAATTTATTAATGTTCCCTGTGTAGCATTTAAATACATTTTATAGATCCATAAAAATGTCTCCAATATGTGCATATTCTACATTAGCAAGGCATTTTACATTTCCTAATGACTTGATGCCAAGTCTTAGGGCCACAATAGATGGAGGATTGTATTCTTATGCTACTGAGCTAAATATTTAGGATTTTTTGGGTAAAAATAACAAACATGTTATACTTACCTACTCTGTACAGTGGTTTTGCACTGATCTTCCTCTTCTTGGGTCCCCGAGTGATGCTCCTGGCTACACAAAAAAGAAAGTAGAGATTGAGAAAATATGAGGGAGAAGAGAAAAAAGGTGGCCTCGGTTGATAAGTAAATCGATCCTGACAAAAAAAATAATGCAGTTAAAGTGGTTGTAAATCTCAGACATAGAATATGAGCAAAGTATATCCCTTTATAGTGTGTACTTATTTCAATCAAGAGCACCAAGTGTAATTTCTGTCTGCTGCTTCGTTCCTTAGCTATCGGCATGTGTTTTCCTTTCACCAAGAGAAAAATTGTGATAGGGGAGGGAGCTCCAGCAGATTGACAGCTTCAGCTCTGTTCCTGTGAGCTCTGTGGAGGGGGTGTGTCCCTTCCCTCCAATCAGCTCTCAGAACTCTCCTCATTGAGCTTTACAGACTGTAACTTAATTTCTCCAACCCCTTTTTTCTGAAATATCACACAAGCTTTTTAATTCAGCACTTTGAACAGATATAGAGGAAAAAAAGACTGCAGATAAATAGGTACAACTTATGTAGAAGTATTTGTTTCATCTCTGTGTATCACCAGAGGCCAGACACTTCACTGGTTACTGTATATGTAAGGGTTTACAAACACTTTAAGTTCTGCCACTCACTATTTTGCCCTAATTTTTATTAAAACAAATCTGTGCTTAAAATGTTCACTTACAGAAATGTTAACAGTCTTTATGGGATTGATAAACAGAGAAAGATAGAAGGGGTAACATTTTGGAGACTCCTCCAAGTGTTCAATGGCCAGGTAGGCTCTAAGTCAGACAAATCTATGCCCATCCCCCAGGAGCAATCCTGTATGTGACAACCCAGTACTCTACAGAACATGGGGAACGCTTGTCCATTTGGCCATTCTGGCTGCAGGGAAACAATATGCTCCA